GCTTTTGATCCATTTGAAATCTTTTGGTTGTTTAAAAAGCCTCAAAGAAGGCGTGAGACTTACCGAATAGATACAATATGAATCTGATCAAGGCAGCCATTCTCGTTGTTAGCCTGTGGAGTTCCTTGGGGTTTCTTAGTGAGAGAATCGTGTGGATTACCTTAATCTTCTCTTGATTGGCCTAAATGCCATGATGTGTGACAATATAAAACATGAGTTTTCCAGAGCTCATTCCAAAACCTTGGAAAGATTGATTTTCACATTCTCAGTGTCGAGAATGCCTACTGTAGGTGAGAATATGCTCATCTGCCTCCAATTATTTTTGGAGCATGTCGTTGATATCAACTTTCATAGCCTGACTAATTTGTTCTGTGAACATCTTGTTTACCGGTCTCTGGTAGGTTGAGATAGTGTTCTTAACACTTAAATGCATGACCTTATAGCAATAAGTGACACTCGAGCATGAAGACATTTTCACCTGGTCGTCTAGGTGCATAAGTATTTGATTGTACATGGAGAAGGAATTTATGAAGCTCATCAACTGATGATGTCCAGCTGTGGTACCGACTTGCTTGTCAATATGAGGGAGTGGAAAAAATCCTTTGGGCAAGATTTAATGATATACTTAAAGTCTATATAAACTCTTCATTTTTGTGTACTACTGTATCGTTCGATTATCAGTTTGAGTATTGCATTTCTCTTATGAACCCAAATTTTAGTAAGTTCATGAATTTGTTGTTAATGATGGTTTCTCTCTCTGGAGTAACTTGTGCTTTTTCTGCCTTGCCGACTGATGCTTGAGATCAAATTGCAGCTTGTAAACTTCTTGTTCAGTGCCAGGAATGTCCACATGGTACCAAACAAAATAGTCAAATTTTGATAGAAGGAAGTCTATTAGCCTATATGATAGATCACAGTGGGTTATTTGAAGTTTATCTTTAGATGCCATGTTATTCTTCCTACAAGGGCACATCATCGAGTTGTTCAACCTCTTTCTGATCAAGTGAGAAGTTGAGGCTCCAGCTGTAATTGCTCTAGACCTTGATCTGTCCTTTCAAAATTGTTTGGTATCAAGAGAGAGTGTTCTTCTTGTCCACTTTGATTTCTTTGATGTTTAAATGGTAAGAAAATTGACAACTTAATGTATGGTGGAAGGTACTGCTCCCATGTCCTAGGTCAATGGGCGTCCCATTATCATGTTGTTGGGTGTACTACCAAGTTTTAAGTTGACATGTTAACATCTTATGCTGATACCACAAGGATTACTTAGCATATGATCTGATTGACCTACCTTCTATAGCCAACGATTGGTGTGATTTACGGGGCAGTACCTCTTTTCTGATTCCTAGGTCATTGAAGGCATCTAAGAAAACTATATTTGTGGAATTTTCATTTTCCATCAGTATTCTCTTCATAAAAAAAATCGCTACAATAACCAGGGTGTCATGGTGCAGAGCTAAGACCTTCTCATGCTCCTCGGTTCTGAATCTTATTTCCTCAATCAGCAAGGATTTTTGCTTGGCCATTTGGTTGTCTTGACCATTATTTGGTACCCTTGGTGCTCTTTTAGCAGCTGCATGTTTAATGCCACTGACTTCCAAGCCTCTTGATATCATATTGATCCCAATCATGGCGCGGTGGAAAAGCATGAGTAGTTTGAGACAGTTGAATATTATCTTCGATGTTATTCTTCAGGTTTTTCGTCCTGTCTAAGAAGATTTTCTTGTGGTATCTCTTTTTAGAAAAAAATTACTGATCTCCATCTTCAACGAGATGCACTCTTTTCTTTTGTGATGGGGCTATTAAGGAACTTGCACCATTTTTGTAATACGGTCGGTATGTTTCTAGTGTTTGCATCTTCTAAGGCTGCTTGACCTAGGGGTTCATCTACCTTAGGACGCTGACCAATTCTGATATCTATATGGAGAGGTTAGAGATGTCTGGCCTTGTTTTCATTTCCATTCCTTCATCTTTTTCTATTGGCCAATGATGGTATCTCTCGTTATTCTTGCCTTCTGCTTCTTTGCCTAGTTTATGATAAGATTTATCAATTTTACTACCTTTATCGCCTCACAACCTGTGATTCTGGCTTTTTTTGAGAGTTTAATTCAGACGATGAGTCATCCTCCCATTTTTATTGTACACATGTTCTATAAAAGATGTCAATTCCTAGCATAAATCGCCATTTGGCAGAATTCTGAGATGGCCGTAGAGACGTTACATCTAGAGCTCGATACATTCTTTTGGTTAAATTGGCTATGTAGCTACGTAGAGTCTCGGCCTTATGCAGTAAGAGTTTATACATATCATCAGCCATGTTTCTAGGTTTTTCTGCATGCAAATTTCTAAATGAACTAATCAGTCAAAGCTGCAAAGGAGTGGAGTGATCTGTTGGACATGTTTATGTAGCTTACAAGGTGGTCCAATAAGAGTTGCTCCAAAGCCCTTACAAACTGTGGCCTCCCAGTGCTCCTTCTGGATTTCTAGCGTGAACAACCTCTACCTATACGAGGCCACATGGTTGTCTGAGTCACTGGCCTGTCGTACATATTTTGTTCAGAAAAGAGAATTTTGTTGGCATCACGAACTCGTATGCAGAGGGAATATCTATGTAGGATTCCAAAGTGCTTTCTGGATTGGTGGGGCACTAGGATGCCGTTTGATCAGGGCATGTACTATTTTGAACTTTAAATAGAGTTCTTTCAGGTAGATAGTCTCTTAAATTTCTTGTCCACTATGCTTCCTCATGCATCTTTGTGTTGGTATTTGTGTTTGTATCGTCATCGTCCATGGATAAATTAGAATGACTGGTGTTTACAGCTAGAGCATCCACACGAGGAAATAGAGAGGATAAAAAATATTTTCTAATTTATAAAACTGTCCATAAATAACTTAATATCTAAACAATAAAAATTAGTATTCCCTCCGTTTCAAAATGTTAAGCGTTTTAGCTTTTCACACAAATTAAAAAAATTATCAAATTTTGATTACCAGTGCATCATTTATTATAGATAACAAAGCCCTATATTTTTTAATCAATAGAATTTTAAGAAACACAATTAATTTTTTAAAAATCTACAAATTTTCATAAAATTATACATTGAAAATATACAAAATACATTTTTTTGAAACAAATATTATTTCTAATATAAGGATGTTTTTAATTTTAAATTAAACAAAATCGGCTAGTGATAGAAAGATAAATCTGTAGAAATTCTACTTCTGTTTATCTTTCTACCCGTAGACGTTTTCTTTAATTGTTAATTTTAAAAAAATATATATATTATACTATTTTTTAGTGTTTAAATATAAGTTGGCCAAATCTAATTTTTTTTTTTGGACATAAAACAACCAATAAAACAAGAATCCGAAATCTGATTTAGTTTCAACTATATAAACTATCATCTTTTATGGCATTATGCTGTGTTTATAATTTCATCTGTCAAGTATTTTGTTGCCTATTCAATTCCGGAATGATTTTACCATTTTTAACATATGCTTTAAATACCTATTTTGATCGCTTCATATGCTACTACTATAGGCCTGAGCGTTTTGGATATCGGTTCTGTTTGGATCGGATATTTTGGGTTTTGGGTAGTTTGGGTAGGGGATTAGAGGATCCATTTACTACTTGACCTATTTTTGGTTCGGTTCCTTTCGGATAGTTTCGGGTTTGGTTTGGTTCGGATAGTAAAATTAGGAATCAGAAAATACCTAGAAAATTTGGTTTTCATTCAGTTCGGGTTCGGCTAATTCGGGTATATTATAAGTTATTTAGGATAAAATCTCAAATAATTAGAACAATTTAAATACAAATTTCAGATATTTTGGATTACTTTGGATATTTGGATAAAATTATTTCCATACTTTCAGATAGTTCGGATAATTTATAATTATTTAGTTATCTTCAATTATTTTTGGATACTTCTAATAGATTTTTAAATTAAAATCATATATTTGGTTATGTTATATGTATATAAAATTAATATTATTATAGATATGGATACCCATTCGGTTCTCGGTCCGGTTCGGTTATTTTGGATATATAAATATAAGAACCATTCGGATTTAAGGATTTGGGTTCGGTTACGGTTTCGGATATTTCGGTTTGGTTTCAGTTTGGTTCTTCAGTTCCGGTTTTTTTCCCAAACCTATGCTACTACGTGATCCGATACTTAGAATGTACATGCATGTGTACATGTCTACATTCAATAGCCAAGCGTTCATCTAGGCAAAAGATTCCATTAGAATATCCGTATTACGATTAAACATAGCCAGGCAAAAAAATGCACCTTTTGAAGTTAGTTCTCGGTAATTACTACGTGTCGCTAGGCAAAAAACTGCACCTTTTAAAGTTTTTTTTTTTTTTTTTTGTTCACCAAAGTCTTCATTACTAATTTTAAGCCATTACAGAGGTAGTAGCATCATCGTACAAACCACAATGTGCAAATCGAAAGACTAAATCCAAAGCATAAATCCAACATAATACAAGGATAGAGACACAAACTTAGCAAAGTTTGATAAAACGTTACACAAAATATCGAGGTTGCCACTTACGATCCAGTCTATGAAAAGACACAAACCGCACTTCAAACTCTTGAAATAACACACGATTAATCACATTAACTTGTGATGTCGTAGCACAATCCAAAACCTCGACTCCCTTCGAAAAGAAGGTCGCTGCATCTACCGACCCCAAACAGACCTTCACACAAGATAGCAAACGGCTAGGAAGTTGAATTTTTTTCCTGGTTTTAAAATCCAGGAGAGTGTCACCTCTTGCAAAGAGGGATGTTGTTGAAAAGATTCTCTTCATTGAGAAGAAGGATGTGGGGAAAGATCTCTCTCGGCCATGGCGAGAGGAAGTTTGAATGAACTTTACCATAGTGGCTAAGTTCAAAGGGCTGACTGAGACAAGCTTTCGTATTTCTGGACAGTGAAACAACAAAGTGCTTAAGCTTGTGGTTGTATAAGAGAACATAGATTGTTGGATGAGCATTTTAAACTCCGACCAAAACCCCATGAAAACACCAAGAGAAGACACACCATCTAGAGTTACTGTCCCTTTGTAGCTTTGGTCCTCTACCGTACCGGAGGTAGTAGAGCTGACTGAAGAGATAGCACCATAACTTGAGGTCTTTTATCACTAAAGGAGGTTCAAAGGACCAGACACATATGCTATCTTGAGTAGACTCCGAGAAAAGCATCAATATACGGCGCAAGCGTGGTGGGTCAACCATCGGGCTCTTCCTTGGTGGGAAAATTTTCAAGTATAGCACTAAGCCATTGATAGCTTCGATCAGAAAAGAAAGAGGAGCATCTGAAAAGATGCAACTTTCACACCAAAGCCAGGTGGAACAAATCTTACCCGCAGGAGAGTACACATCGTCCATAAGAACATCAAACAAGGTAATTGCCAAAATATCTTCAGATCTGGTCGCTGTGATATCCACGAGTTCGAACCGGTTGAGAGCAGGGGAGAGGCGGCTGACAGATCTACCTGAGCAATTCGAAACCAAGGCTGAGAAACAGATCTCCACAGGGAAGAATTGCTCTCAGTCTTCATCGGTACTGGCAAGAACGAAGCTTTTTGGAAAGGTTCATTGGGGTTGAACCCGAGATGCAGTGAGAAGCAGTTACTGTAAAGGGTTGCGAGTTTGGCGTCAAGAGAAAGATAACCCATAGGGATATCAACACCGAGAGAGATGGTTCCAAAGAGCTGCTTCTCCGTCTCAGATCCATGGAGCCAACACGCCGAATCTCACTCAATAGTAAGGTAACAAACGGAAATACAAAGAAGGAAAGGTCGCGCAAGAGGAGAGAGACAGAGATATAACTTAGATAAGTGGAAGAGTCCCGACGCCGGCAAGCAAGGGCTTCACCGGCGCCAGAAGATGGTTGCACCTTTTAAAGTTAGTTCTCGGTAATTACTACGTGTCGCTACTATATGCTTTACTTTCACTGAATATATATTTGTCTTTATGCGGCTGTTTAAAATTTGTCGGCAAGGACTTATTAAACAGGATCCGTAAAAGTCCCAAATCTGTCGGGTGACTTTTATGTCAAACATTCCTAATAATAATAGCAATTATAATCAAATAACGAAATCCTATATCTATACGTATGCGACTGTGTGTTTTAAGACATTGGTGACAAACAAGAGTGAGTTACATAATGGGCCAGTTTTTGTATTTCGTTTACGTTGAAAGTCACATCCAGCTTATGACATATTTTTCTTTGGTTAGAGACTATTGATTTGACAGAAATGTCCTTGTAGAGAGGAGCTTGGATTTCGTTCCCGGTTTTTCAAATCCGTAGATGGTTAGGCTGCTTGCGGTTTAGGAACATTTGTGCATTTGTTAGGTAGTTGTCTCGACTGTTGTGTTTACTGCTAACTACACGATTTTAAAAGAAATCTGAGATCCGATGGTCAGTGCTCAAAAAGGAGAATATAATACATGTAGACAACAACGTTCATTTAATGCATTTCACGTAGGTTTAAAATTCGAATATCTGAGGTTTGTTGTATCAGAAGAGATTTAGGAAAGTGGAATCTTTGTGTTTGTGAAGGTTTGTTGTGTACGGTTATGATCTGCCCTTGTTTTTTCGTTTAATCTTTGGTTTTGTAATTTATTAATTTCTTTTCCATTGCTATGTGCAGGTTTAAGCAATGGAGGAGCATTGTATGGTTATCTGCGGAGATTGGGTCTGTGGACCAGGAAACAAGTGGGATTTTGTAGTTGAGAAACATGAGATGGCAAAAATTGTGCTTCTCTACGAAGGAATAAGTTTGACCGAACTTCAAGTCAGTGTCTTGCGGGAGTTCAAGCTTTATATTGCGGTTTACAACGGTGTACTTAGCTACTGGCCACCTACAAGTTTGGAGCTTGCAACTGGGATAACCACTCCTCCTGTTTTGCTGACCAGTGATGGAGCCATTAAGTACTTTTTCAGGATTTGAGGGTAAAAGGAGCAAAGAATTTGTTTGTTAAGTTTGAAAGGCTGCAGCTTTGGAAGGGGAAGACAACATCGATGACTCTCGTCTTGGGTTTGTCACTCCTGGTGCCTACAAGAGTATGTCTAGTGGTCCACCTCGTTTCAAGCATAAGGCCCCACACTATGTAAGGTCTGGTTTTAATCAGAACTTGTCTTCAGACAGAGAACCAAGAATGTCGAAGTGTCCTTGTGCGACAGAAGAGGCTAGGAATGCTCCTACAGTAAACCTGGATGATATCGAGTTTGTTCGTGAGGCTGAGAAATTGGAGGAGGAATTAGAAGGAGTTAGCGAGGGAGGCTGTAAGTGGTGGTAGTCAATGTGAAGATGGGGTAACAGGTGAGGAGATCAATGAGATGGAAATCCATCCAAGAGGGTATGACAAAGAATTTTGGAGTCCATTACTAAGTGGTGACTATGGTGGGTCAGACGCTGTTAATGTCACTTATAACGAAGATGAGATTGTGGATGACATACTGAAGAAGTCTGGTCCACGGTACTTCTCAAGCAGCAATACTGAGCATGTGACACCTGCTGGTTCGAGCAGAGCGTCTAATGAAAATAGAGATCCCGCGGATAGGCAGCCGTGGATGGGCTGAGATTTGGACGGAGCACCTCCTGTCTGTACACGCTAATTAGAAGAAATTCCTGACAAGGAGTTTGACATCCTGCTATTGTTTGATGACACACGTTATGAAGTATCTGAGATACCAGACATGGATATCAATGAAGATGATGGGCAGATATATGTTGGGAAGGTCTTTGGTAACAAAGCGGACTAATAAATCTCTCTGGCAATATATGCAATTAAAAGAAAATTCAGGTTCAAGCAAACAACAACAAAAATTGACTCTTTCGTTGTGAAATGCCCCTACCTACACTGTGATTGGAGGGTGATAGCTCATGAGATAAGTGGAACTGGATATTATGAGATAAGGAAAGCTCAGCTAGATCATAGTTGTCCTATAGATTTCAAAATGGGGTATAAAAGCCAAGCTACTTCAAAGGTCATAGATTGTTGGGGTCAAAATCGGTACGACGGAATTAATAGCCAAAACTTTTCGCAAGAATACAAAAAGAACAGTTTTATAAAGCTCGAGAATCGTTTTATAAAACTGGAAAAATCGTTTTATAAAACTCGAGAAATCGTTTTATAAAGCTCGAGAAATCGTTTTATAAAGCTCGAGAAATCGTTTTATAAATTTCGAGAATCGTTTTATAAAACCCGAGAAATCGTTTTATAAAGCTCGAGAATCTTTTTATAAAACTCGAGAAAACGTTTTACAAAGCTCGAGAATCGTTTTATAAAACTCGAGAAATCGTTTTATAAAGCTCGAGAATCGTTTTATAAAACTCGAGAAATCGTTTTATAAAGCTCAAGAAGAGAATCGTTTTATAAAACTCGAGAATCGTTTTATAAAACTCGAGAATCGTTTTATAAAACTCAAGAATCGTTTTATAAGACTCGAGAAATCGCTTTATAAAACTCGAGAAATCGTTTTATAAAACTCGAGAATCGTTTTATAAAACTCGAAGATCGTTTTTGTTGGGGTCAAAATCGGTACGACGGAATCAATAGCCAAAATTCTCCGCAAACACATAAAACGCAACAGTTTTATGAATCTCGAGAATCATTTTATAAAACTCGAAGATCGTTTTATAAAACTCGAGAGATCGTTTTATAAAGCTCGAAAG